ATAATCATATACATTGTATATTGACAAAATAAAAATTTAACGAAAAAAAAAAAAGAAATAAACCAAATAAAATTATGTATATTCCTTCATAAAAAAAAAAAGAATTATCTGGTTTAGAAAGACGCATGGAATGAAGCTCTTATATTGAACACAAGAAGTAAATTTTTTTAAAAAGAAAATCTATTTCTTGGGCTCTATTTTATCTTCTTCATGGGGGTACAAATTGAGGAAGCTCTTTGGAAAAGCAATCTTGCTGTGTCTAGCAAGACAAAAAAGGCACAATCTCGTCAAACTCAGCAAATCCGGTTGCAGAAATCTATCCTAAATATTGTACATGTGCACATAAATGTAAACAAAGTGTGGCTACATTTTCTGTGAATTTGAATTTGGTAAATTTGAAATAAGAATGTAAAAGTATTCAGTCTTATGTGCAAATTTGAAATAATAAAAATGCAAAAACATTTAAAAATGTGTCCAGCATCTCATGATCTCACAGCCGGGTGGCAGGGCGAAGAGGTGAATGTAGACTGTGTTTACGCTACTGCCAGCGGTGGCAGCACTATAGCTGGTGAGCAGAAATACCTGCTACTGTTCCTTATCAGACCCAGGGGAAGATCTCTCTGAAACTCCTCATGCGTTGTGTTGTCTGAGGTCTGCAGGAACATACCCCTCACTTAAAAGACCAGCCTCGATGATAACATTTACTGCATCTCTTTGTGATAATAAAACATTGACATTATCTCAAATGTTCATACATGGGAAAGAGGTTAAATAAATTTAGGAACTTTCATAGCATGCAAGATGACATTATTAAAAACTCAATTTAGAGCAGGAGTCGACAAACTATGGCCTACTGCCTCTTTTTGTAATCTCACAAGCTGAGAATGATGTTTATAATTTTAGATGGTTGAATAAACATCAAAAGAAGAATATTTTGTGACAAGTGACAATTCGATGAAATCCAAATTTCAATGTCCATAAATAAAGTTTTATTGGCACAAAGTCACACCCATCGTTGTACTTGTTGTCTGTGGCAGCTTTTGAGTAACAATGGCAGGGTTGAGGCCATGTGGATCGCAAACCCAAAAACTATCTGGACCTTTATGGGAAAAGTTTGCCAACCCTTGGACTAGAGGCATTTTCATGGAAATAGCAACAAAATTTCATGTAGTGCTCACTGTTCTGAGGACTTTCGATCTGTGAACTTATTTAACCCTGAATAACTTAGTTAAATAACTTATTTAACTAAGATGTAGCTGCTGTCATTATCTCTGTTATGGATGAGTAAACTGAGGCACAGAGAGGGGAAGTCATTTGCCCAAAGTCACACAGCTGGTGAGTGATTTTGAACTCAAGCAATCTGGCTCTAGAATCTGTGCTCTTAATGGCTAGGCTCCCCAAGAGCAGGGCTTCTTGACCTGAGACTGTTGACATTTAGGGTTGGAGCATTCTTTGCTGTGGGGGCAGTCCTGTGCATTCTATGATGTTTAGCAGCATCCCTGGCCTCCACCCACCAGATAGCAGTAGGTGTGCTGGAATGTGTGTGCTTGGGTCCCCGAATGGTTCCAACAACCGTGATGTCGACAACAATAATAACAACCACCACATTGGGAGGGCTGACTATGTGCTAGAGAACGACTCTATGCACTTCTCAGCCCATGCTAGCCCTGCGAGGGTGTCCTGATATCAACTCACATTTAAGAGGGGGGAAACTGAGGCGCTAGGGGGTTAAGGAACTTGCTTAGAGTTGCAGAGCTGGTAGTGACAGAGCCCTGGGTCAAATCCAAGCTCTTGACCTTAACCCTGTGGATATGCCTGATGGACATTCTTGACTCTACACAGGTGTCCTCTGAAGGAGACAGATTGTTGGAGAAGCTTCCAGATGCTGTGGGGTTCCTGGTGGTCTCTGAAGATGAGTCCCTTCTTGCTGCAGGTAGCGTTTGGCTCTCATTTTGGAATGTCGAGGAGGCGAGTCAAGATTGGGTTGGAAGGGCCGGCCTGGTGGTGCACTGCTACAATGTGCCGCTTGGGAGCATGGCGGCACTCCCGCCGAGGGTTCGGATCCCACATACAGACCGGCCGCTCACTGGCTGAGCGAGGTACGGGCGCGACACTGAGGGTTGCGATCCGTTGCCGGTCACGAAAAAAGAAAAAAAAAAAAAGAAAAAGAAAGTTCAGAATTTCTGTTGTTTGAGTTGTTTTTCTTTGTCACATGAAAGCTTCATAATTCTAAGGCAGATTATCATCTGTAGGAACTCCAGTAAAATAGTTTTTAATGCTAGAAAATCTAGTGAATCTGTCTGATGCTTACTCAGGAGCCAGGAAAGCCCTTGGAAGGGTCTCTTCAATTGAAATAATTTTTGTAGAAGACACGATAATACAATATTGAATCAAGGAAATCCTATTTCATTGCTCTTGTTTGTTTAAAAATGTATCATAACAACACTAATTTTTCACCTTATATTTATCATATTCTTATATATTCTGGAGTCCTAATGTTCAAATAATATGAGGTGATGTGTAAGTTCACTAGTGACACCCTGGGTTATGTGCTCCTTTCCAAGGCATTGGAGTGGAAGAGAGGCTGGAAAAGAAGCCCAGAGAGGAGTGTGGCATGTGAGTTTTAGGATATATGCTGAGTGATATAACTTGTTAAGGAAAAATAAAACAACCCCTCAACAAAAACAGAAGAAAATGTCAGACACAACTGTGTTCAGCTAGATTTTTTCCAGTTGAAATCTTTTTCAGTTCTATGACAGGACAGCAAATGGTGGTCAGGAATGAAGCCCCTTCAATACGGTATCCTGAAAATACACGACTGTCACACAAGGGCACAGACATGGAACTTAGGGACAAAGAGGAGTTCTAGGCCAGAGGCTACCAAATTTTTTTCAGTAAAGAGCTGAGTAATAAATATTTTGGGGTTTGTGAGCTCAAAAAAGACAGTCTCTGTTGCACCAACTCAACTCTGCCATTATGGCACGAAAGTCACCATGGGCACTCTTTAAATAACTGGGTGTGTCCATGTCCAATAAAATTTTATGGACATCAACATTCACATTCCGTATCATTTTCACGTGTCATGAAATGTTAAACTTACTTTGATTTTTTCCAACCATTTGAAAATATGGAAACTATTCTTAGCTCATGGGCTCATGGGCTGTAATTTGCCAACCTCTGTTCCTGGGGAATCTCCTAACCTTTCTGGTCTTTGGACTCATTATCTTTGTTTTTGTTTTTTGTTTTTTGAATTTTTAAAAAAATATTTAATTCTATTAATATTATTTTTTACATTCTAGGATGGTGCTGTGGAGCAGCTGAGGGGGGAGAGGGGAAAGGGGAAGGAATTGGGATGGAAGAAGGAGGAAGGAGGAAGGGTGGGATTGAGGCCTGTGGCAGCCCCCTCATTCCCATAGGGGAGACCAGGGGTCTTCCAGCAGTGGCTTGGTTACTGCTGGGCTGGGTGCAGATGTTGGGGGGGTGGCAAAAGCCCTCGCCCCACACCACCCCAGCTCAGGAACCCAGGGCCCTTCTTGCTGCAGCTTGGTGGTTTTCACTGGGCTGGTTGCACATGTTGAAGGGGCATGGCCGAGGCCCTCGGGCCCCCCACCACCCCAGCTTGGGAGAGCCTGGGGCACTTCCTAAAGCAGCTCGGTGGCCACCACTAGGCTGGTTGCGGGTGTCAGGGGGGTGTGGCCAAGGCCCAAGGTCCCCCACCACCCTGGCTCGGGAGAGCCCAGGGCACTTGGGCTCATTATCTTTGAAATAGGAATCGTTATCCCTGTGGGACAATCTTGGTGAGAGTGAGGCTGGGTGAGACGATGGGGTAGGAATGTTTTTTACATATAGAGGAACAAGTGCACACAACTCCAGCCTAGCAGGAAAGAACAATCAGGTCACCGTAAGAAATTATGGTTGGTGTTATGACAAGACAAGAATTAGGGGCTATGGGAGCATGTCATGGGTTCCCTTCCTTACTCTGGGGCAGTCAGGGGGGACTTCCCAGGGGAGGTGACCAACAGATAGTTCCTCTACAACCTGATTTTTATGAAACTATTTCTAGGGGTCAAAGACACACTAGACGAACACTGTCTAATAATTCAAGCCACAATTATAATTGTGAATGTTCTAGTGATCCTATTTATTTATTTATTTATTTATTTTTTGAGACCGGCCACACTGCGCTCAGACAGTGAGCACCGTGAGCGCACTGGTCATCCCTATATAGGATCCAAACCTGCGGCGGGAGCGCTGCTGCGCTCCCAGCACCGCACTCTCCCAAGTGCGCCACGGGCTCGGCCCCTAGTGATCCTATTTAAAAAGATAAAAAGAAACAGTTGGCATTTGTGTTACTCATCTATCTTATTTAACCCAATACACCCAAAACTTAAGATGAAATCAATATAAAAATTATTGATGGAGGCTGGCTGGTTAGCTCAGTTTATGTGCGGTGTTATAACACCAGGGTCAAGGGTTTGGATGCTCATACCAGCCACCTTCCAAAAAAAAATTATTAGTGGGATATTTTACATTCTTTTTTATTGTTAATGTACTAAGTTTTGAAAGCCGGTGTATATTTTACACTTACAAAATATCTCAATTCAGACCAACCACATTAAAAGTCACATGTGTCTGGTGGTGATCCTATTGGACAGAGCAGGTCTATAGACAAATGTTTATCTTCCTAGACTGATTGATTAATGATTGATTGGTATATACCCTCTATCCTGTTTCCAAAAGAATTTTTGGTGGTTTGTGTGTGTGTAATATGCAGCACAGGAAATAGGAATGAAAGAAGAAAGAAAAACGGGTACAGGCACAAAATAGAATCAGGGGAGAGGCCAAAGACATCAAGGACCTCAGTGACCTAGAAATTTGTTATGGTTGGGCTTCACGTGTGCCTCTTTCCAGCAGCCAGTGAAAAGAGGGAGTCTGGGAAGTTTCTCCATTCACAGTTTTGGGAGCCAATCTGTTGCTTGGGGAGTTGTATCCTGACTTAGCTGAGATCAGACAAGGATTTCTTTTGAGGGTCATAAGTAGAATTGCAGTGTGGGGGTCCCTGAGACCACCTTCAGGTTCAGTGATTCCCCAGCGCTCACAGAACTCAGAAAAAGCAAATGCTTTCATACTTACAGTTACAATTTATTGCAGCAAAAGGATAGAGATTTAAATCAGCAGAGAGAAGAGGTGCATGGGGCAGAGTCCAGGAGACCCCAGGTTTGAGCTTCAGGTTCTTCTGTCCCAGAATGGTCATGTGGATGGCTCTTAATTCTCCCAGCAATGATGTGGGGCAACATGCATGGTGTACTGCCAAGTGGGGTACAGTGAACCTCAGTGTCCAGGGTTTTTGATGGGAGTCAATCTCAAGGACATGGCTGACCGTCTGCACAGTTGACTGTAGTCTCCAACCCTTCCAGAGGTTAAGCTGATACTGCATGTCCGAAAGCTCCCACCATAAATCACTTTGTTACTATCTGGTGTGACCCAAATCCCCCCCTCCCTCCCCCAGCACATAAAGATACCCTTATCAGGCAGGACATCCCAAGGGCTTAGAGGTCACTTTTCAGGAGCAGATCAAGGCTAAACCTTTAATGTGCGGTGTGTGGACAAGCCAGGCCTGCCAAGTTCATCTTTTACTACACAAGAATGTAAGGCAAATGCCCTTGAACAGTAAATATTTTGATGCATTTTATCAGACCATTTTCCGTAACATTCTTCTGGGGGACCTTCACGTCCAAGTACAATCCAATAAAAACAGTTCCACAGAAGGTGTGGAAAGGCGGTAAGATGGACTTTCAGTCCCCAGCTTCCAGCTGACCTGACAGTCCAGAGGTTGTCAGGAGGCTAAACTGAGATAGCCCAGCCCATAAGCTCACACCATAAGCCCTCAATAGGAAAGTTACTGTTGTATTAATGGCTAATACTTGGTGCTTACAATTTGTCAGAATCTTTCCTAAGCAATTTACAAGTGCCAACTCCTTTAGTCCCCAACGACAGCCTTGGAAGGTAGATGTTTTCGTTGTTCTCATTTATGGATGAGGAAACTGTGCACAGAGAAGTTAAATAACTTGCCTGAGGCCACACAGCTCTAAGTGGAGGTGCTGGGATTTGAACCCAGAGTCTTGCTTGACTCCCCACCCTCAAACGCGATGCTGCCCTGCATCAGAAGATCTGTTTATTTACCAATAATATTTTGTTTCTGAACATCTTGTAAGCAGTAATTCCTGTGGAAGTGCAGAGTGCCCACTTGCATGGTGCCCATGTTCACCCAGCACACACAGCACCTGAACTGTCAGTGCCAGTGGAAATGGGCAACTCAATGGGTTACCCAGGGACAGACCTCTTTTCCTAAAGGAAGGAAGAAGGTGGCTTCCTTCCTATGCAGAGGAGACAAAAATATACACAGGCTTATACATATAAACGTAAACATATGCATATAACATATACATATAAACAGCTGGCTCTCTGCTAGCTGCAGGGGTGTACCCCATGGTGCACTCACTCGCTGAGCAGAAGAGGCCTGATTTGTCTCCCAGATGGGGCCTTGGAGACCCTGCATAATCTGGCCTTTGCCCACCTCCCTGCTCTGCTCGGGGGTCCTCCCAAAAAACATCACCCAGACCATATTTGGAACACAAGTGAGCAAGTCCCCTTGGGTAGGGTTGCCAGGAAAAATACAGGAGCCTCAGTGAAATGTGCATTGCAAATCAACAACAAATCAAGTATGTAGGATAAGTACACCCCATGCAATTATTAGGGATATACTTATACTAATAAAAGTGCATTATTTATCTGACATTCAGATTTAACTGGGAGTCTTGGTTTTCTTTTGTGTTTTTGTTTCTTTGTGGGTTTTATTTTCCCTCAGTCTGCCTGTCTCTCCGTCTGTCTCCCCCTCCTTCACTCCCCTCCAGCCACATGGGCCTCCTTGCTGCTCCTCAGACATGCCCAGGCCTTTCCTACTTCCTGGTCGTCCCAGGTTGTTTCCACCTTTCCAGCAGCTGCCACCTCCTCATCCCTCTAAAACCAGTTCAAATGTCCTGGGGCTGCTAGAACAGCCTTCCTTCCTTCCCTCACTCCCTTCCATTGTATTTATCGAGGGACTACTCTGTGCCAAGCTTTGTGGCTTCTAAGATACCATAAGGAGCCTAAACAGGCAGTCCCTGCCCCCTGGAAACTCATAGTCTTGTGATAATCAGTAACTTTACAGGTTTCCTTAAGACAATTGATTACCATTGATTATCAACCCCCCCTCCACCTGTCAGCTACGTGAGGATGAGGACCGCGTCCACCTTCTTCGTCCCTGTATCCCTTCTCCGGGCACATAGAAGGTGCTCCAAAAAACCTTTGTTGATTGAATGAATGATTCTCCAGCTCCTCCAGGCACGAGATGCATAACCCCAGTCCCTGCTGTTTCAGGCTTCGGAAGATCCGTGCGGATATTCTTGGCCGATTCGCAGGGCTTTCATCGATTCATGGCCACCGATCTGCAGCACGAGGACACAGTAGAGACGGCCGTGTTTGGTCCCGAGAACAATCTGATCGTCACTGGGTCCCGTGACGCTTTCATTCAGGTGAGGGGACAGCCAGGACCTCTCTGCCTCTGGAATAGAAAGTGTGATTCTTCAGGGATCTTTTGGCTGCAAAATACAGAAACCCACAAAAATGAATGCAGACAGAATAGAACAGGTCATACGGGGGAGTCTCCTGAGCCCCAACAATAGACCCGAGTGGGAATTACTAAAATATTCAATGAATGGGCTGGCCAGTTAGCTCACTTGGTTAGAGTGTGGTGCTGGTAACACCAAGGTCAAGGGTTCGGATCCCTGTACTGGACAGCCGCCAATAAAATAAAATAAAATAAAATAAAATAAAATAAAATGTTCAGTGAAGGAGGTAGCCAACTGAACCTGAAAAACCGGCAGGATTTTGGCCTGCAGAGTGGAGCAGGGTTGGGCGGGAGGAGTTCAAAGTTGTCGAAACTGGTGAGAAAAATGTGATAAAGTATCAGTTCTCCAATGGTTTAGTCTCAGTACCTCTTCACATGTCTTTCTTCCCTTTTTATGAGCTGTTTCTTTGCAGCTTTTTAACAATTTGACAAACAAAAAATGTATATGTGTATGGTGTATAACATGATGTTTTGAAATAGGTGTATATTCTGGAACAGCTAAATCTAGCTCATTAACATATGCATTTTCTCACATACTTAGTTTCTGGTGGTGAGAACACTTACAATCTACTCAGAGATTTTCAAATACACAATGCATAATTATTAACTAGAGTCACCATGCCGTGCCATAGATCTCTCTCTCTCTTTTTTTTTCCCGTGGCTGGGCAGCACGGGGATCGGAACCCTTGACCTTGGTGTTATAACACTGTGCTCTAACCAGCTTAGCTAACCTGCCAGCCCCCATACTATAGATCTCTTGAACTTATTCCTCCAAACTGTAATTTTGTATCCTTTGACCCAAATCTCCCCACCCCCTTCCAAATCCCATCCCTCTGGTAACCACCATTCACTTCTGCAAGTTCAGCTTTTTTAGATTCCACATGCAGTATTTGTCTTTCTGTGCCTGGTTTATTTCACGTAATATAATGTCTTTCTGGTTCATCCACGTCATACCAAATGGCAGAATTTCATACTTTTTTAGGGCTGAATAGTATTCCATTGTGTATATACACTGCATTTTTTTTATCCAGTCATCCACTGGGGGACACTTAGGTTGATTCCATATCTTGGCTGTTGGAAATAGAGCTACGATGAACATGGGAGTGCAGGTATCCCTTTGACATGATGATTTCATTTCCTTTGGGTATATCCCCAGAAGGGGGATTGCTGGGTCCTATGGTAGTTCTACTTTTAATTTGTTGAGGAACTTTCATACTGTTTTCTACAATGCCCGCACTAATCTATCTTACTCTCCCAACAACAGAGTACAACGATTTCCTTTTCTCACCAACACCTGTTATCTTTCCACTTTTTGGTAATAGTCATCTGAACAGGTTTAAGGTGTTATCTCTATGTGGTTTTCATTTGCATTTCCCTGATGATGAGTGATGCTGAGCGTTTTTTTCACATACCTGTTGGCCATTTGCATGTCTTCTTTTGACAAATGTCTATTCAAATCCCTTACCCATTTTTTAATCAGGTAGTTTTCTTGCTATTGAGTTGTTTGATTTCCTTGTATATTTTGGACATTAACCTTTTGTGAGATGTTCAGTCTGCGAATACAATTGTGTCTTGGTATCCATGGGAAATTGGTTCCAGAAGTCTCCACAGATACCAAAATCCACAGATGCTCAAGTCCCTTGTATAAAATTGCATGGTATTTGCATGTAACTTACCCACATCCTCCCCTGTACTTTAAGTCATCTCTAGATTGCTTGTAATATCCAATACAATGTAAATGCTATGTAAATAATTGTTAACTGTATTGTTTTTATATTGGGTTTTTTTTTGTTTGTTTGGTTTGGTTTGGTTGTTTTACTGTTGTATTGTTATTTTTATGGTGTTTTTTTTTCCCAAATATTTTTGATCTGTGATTGGTTGAATCCATGAATATGGAACCCATGGATAAGGAGGGTTGACTGTATTTTCTCCCACTCTGCAGGTTGTCTCTTTGCTCTGTTGATTGTTTCCTTTGCTGTGCAGAAGCTTTTTAGTTTGACATAATCCTGTTTTTCTATTTTTGCTTTTGTCGCCCATGCTTTCAGGGTCAGATGCAAAAAGTCATTGTCCGGACCAATGGAGCTTTTCCCTTATGTTTTCTTCTAGTATTTTACAGTTTCAGGTCTTATGTTTAAGTCTTTAATCCATTTTGAGTTGTATATGGTATGAGATTAAAGTCATACTGTTCTGGGCCGGCCTGGTGGCGCACTGGAGAGTGCACCACTTGGGAGCGCAGCGGCGCTCCTGCCGAGGGTTCGGATCCCATGTGGAGACCGGTTCCCGCTCACTGGCTGAGCACGGTGCGGGCGCAACACCAAGGGTTGCGATCCCGTTGCTGGTCCCCGGTACGGGCACGACACCGAGGGTTGTGATCCTGTTACCGGTCAGTAAAAAAAGACAAAAAGGAAAAAAAAAAAATGGTATGAGATTAAAGTCATACTGTTCTGGGCCGGCCTGGTGGCGCACTGGAGAGTGCACCACTTGGGAGCGCAGCGGCGCTCCTGCCGAGGGTTCGGATCCCATGTGGAGACCGGTTCCCGCTCACTGGCTGAGCACGGTGCGGGCGCAACACCAAGGGTTGCGATCCCGTTGCTGGTCCCCGGTACGGGCACGACACCGAGGGTTGCGATCCCGTTACTGGTCAGTAAAAAAGACAAAAAGGAAAAGAAAAAAAAAAAAGTCATACTGTTCTGTATCCTCAATACATTTTTAAAGATTATTGACGACCCCAGAGAGAGTTTGTGTGTGTAGGTTATATCTATTTAATATATATATTAGCATATGATTTCCTTTGGAATAATTTTAGATTTACAGAAAAGCTGCAAAGAGAGCACAGAGAGTGCCCATATATCCTATGTTAACATCCCAAATTACCTTGATACATTTATCAAAACCAGGACATGAACATGGGAACAGTACATTAACTGATCTGCAGACTCTGTTCAGGTTTCACCATGAACAAAGCTTTTTTGGTTCAGAAATCAAAAAAAATGTCCTTTCTTGATTCCAGGATCTCACTGCATTTAGTATCTATTGATATTTACCATATTAAAAATGAAAAAGAAGACAACTCAAAAGTAAGCATCCATGAATGCATTAACATGACATGTTTACATAATGTTTTTATGAAAAATAATTATAGTTCCTGAAACCAAAAACCAAAAAAATTCATGAGAAGGGTGGCATCATTTCACATTTTTGCAAATCTCCTTAATGTCTGGCTTATTAGAAGACAGCTGGATTCTCATATTTGATTCTGTATTCTCATATTTGTTCTGATATCACGTGTCATAGAGCTTCTGGAAAACTCCACTGCTTACTCATGAGAGGAGAGTTATAAAGGCAAATAATATCTTCAAATTATTATGAAAATAGTTTTGACCTTGCAGACTCTCTGAAAGGACCTGGGGTACCCTCCAGGGGTTCCCTGAGACACACTTTGGGAACTGCTTTTGTTGCTGACTCGTGAGGTATGGGGAAGTTTAAGGAGGTGAGGATATGTAAAGACCCTTAAACGACAGCCTAAAAATTCACCTTAAGTGGATGAATGGGCTTAAGCATATTTCTGAGCTACAGTTGTATCAGGAAGAGGTCAGATCTGCCCTTCTGTTCTCTATCCTCAGGTGTGGAGTCTGTCAGAGCAGGGGAGCCTGGTGGGCATGCTGGAAGGCATCGGGGCACCTGTGAACCTGCTGGCCCGGGGTGGGGCTTTGGTGGCTTCTGCTTCCCAGCAGTCCTCATCTTTCAAAATCTGGGATCTCAGCAAAATTCAGAAGCCCTCGGCCTCTGCTCCTTTTCTGGACCGCACCGGCCTCACAGCAGTGTCCCACAACGGAAGCTACGTCTACTTCCCCAAAATTGGAGACAGAAACAAAGTCACCATTTGGGACTTGGCAGAAGGTTTGTAAGATATAAGTATGATCACTTACGTGGGTAAGAATAGAAAACCCAGTCTTTCTTAATTCGGCATGCCATGACAAATTACCACAGACTGGGTGGCTTAAGCAACAGACATTTACTTCTCACAGTTCTGGAGTCTAGGAAGTCCAAGATCAAGGTGCCAGCAAATCCAGTGTCTGGTGAGGGCCTGCTTCCTAGTTTGCAAGTGGCTGCATTCTCTCTATGTCCTCACATGGCAGAGAGACAGAATAAGCTTTTTGTGTCTCTTCTTACAAAGGGCACTATCCCATTCATGAGTGCTGCACCCTCATGACCTAATCACCTCCAAAAGGCCCCACCTCCTGATACCAGGCCATTGGTGGCAAAGATTTCAACATAGGAATTTGGCAGGGGGTGGGGGGGACACAATCATTCAGTCCATAACACCCCCATAACTCCAGCCAAGTTGAAAGTGGCTAATCAGAAACAGGACTTGATTTTGTCTGTTTCCAACATAAGGCAATTGATAATCTGCTTGTCAATTCCTGTTTTAGTTCAGTATCCTAGAAGCTGGTCCTCTGATGAGGATATTTGCACAAGTATTCGGGGGTGTTTCCAGGAGAACCCTGAGAGAGAGTGAGGGAAACAAACAGGGGGAGGACTCAGCTGCAGCCCCCATCAGCCTTGTCCTGTGGGGAGCCCTGGAGGGTGCATTGCACCACTATATTCGTGCATCTGGGCTGCTACAACAGAATACCATTGACTGGGTGACTTAGAAACAACAGAAATTTATTGCTCACAGTTCTGGAGACCAGAAGTCCAAGATCAAGGCACCAGCAGAGTGGGCGTCTGGTGAGGACCTGCTTCCTGGCTCACACCTAGTGTCTTCTTGCTGCATCCTTACATGGCAGAAGGAGTGAGGGAGCTCTCTGGGGTCCCTTTTATAAGGGCACTAATCCCACTCACGAGGGCTCCACTCTCATGCCCTAACCACCTCCCAAAGGCCCATCTCATAGTACCATCACCCTGGGGACGAGGTTTCAATATATGAATTCAGGGGGTGGGGGACACAAACATTTAGAACTGGCTGGTGAAGCGGGTCTGAGCATGTCACCAGCAGCACCTGCTATAGTCCCCACTGGGATTGGGGACATGCAAAAAGAATTCTGATTCTCAAGTTCATTCCCAAGTTCATTCATTCACTGATTTGGCAAACATGTTTTGAGTGCCAACTGGCTAGGCTGGGCTCGGGGGGTTATAAGCAAGACAGACAAGGTCACTATTCTTGAGGTGCTTGTCTGCTACTTGGGGAGCAAAGCAGGACACGAGGAAATGGAGAGTGGCCCTTTTCAGAAGTTTGTGAAGGAAAAGTTTGGGATGAGGTCTGAGAGGTCATGTAAAGCCTCTAAGACTGTGGAAAGGAGTTTGCATTATGTTCTGAGGGTCACAGGAAGCCTTGAGAGGGTTGAGATGACATGATTTTCATTGTAAAAAGCTCAGATTGGCTGGCTGGTTAGCTCAGTTGGTTAGAGCGTGGTGCTGATAACACAAAGGTGAAGGGTTTGGACCCCTGTACCAGCCAGCTGCAAAACAAACAGACAAACAAACAAACCAGCAAACAAAAAGCCCCAGATTGTGGGAGATCAGAAATGGAATCAGGGAAACTATCAGTGCCCAAGATTAGGACTATGGGTGATTGAAAGTGTTTTAAAATCCTTAAAAACCAGGGAACCGGTATCTCTATGATCCATTCTTGGTGTGGTTTTCTCCCCTGGCAGGTGAGGAACAAGACTCCCTGGACACGTCCAATGAAGTCAGGTGTCTGGAGGTTGCCGAGCAGGCCAAGCTGCTTTTCACCGGCCTGATTTCAGGGATCGTCCTTGTGTTCCCCCTGAATTCCAGGCAGGATGTGATGTGCATCCCCCCTCCCGAGGCCCGGAAAGCCATCAACTGCATGTCTTTAAGCAAGAGCGAGGACCGTCTGGCCATCGCCTATGACAACATCATCCTGGTGCTGGACATCGGCCCTGGGGACCCCTGTCCAGTCATTGATGGGCCCACGTACACCTTTTATACCCAACTGCCTGAGACAATCTCCAGCGTGGCCGTTCTGACCGACTACCGTGTGGTCTACGGCATGACCAACGGCGACGTCTTTCTTTACGAGTGTGCGAATTCAAAAGTGTTCCCTTTGGAGGCCCATGGGAGCCGAGTCACTTGCGTGGAGGTCAGCCACAGGGAGCAGCTGGCAGTCAGCGGGTCCGAGGAAGCCCTGCTGTGTCTCTGGGACCTGCAGGCATGCAAGTGGAAATTTGAGATGAAGTACACGGTGCGTGGTCTGCCCCACCTCGTTCATGCATGTTCCTGGCTTTAGAAAACAGTTGTCATTTATTAAGTGCACATCATGTGCCATCGACCAGGATTGGCACTAGGTCAGGCAAGGGAGGCACTAGCCTTAGGGGCCAAGGTTAAGGGGGTGCCAAAAAACTCAACCACCAAGAGAAATAAGACATTAATGCCATACATATATACATTTTGGGGGGGTGGAAGGTGGCTGGCCAGTATGGGGATCCAAACCCTTGAACTTGACCTTAGTGTTATAACACCTCACTCTAACCAACTGAGCTAACTGGCCAGCCCGCAATATATATTTTTAAAAAGCACAGAATGAGTGCCCAAAATCCACAAGGTGCAAAATTTCCACATGATAGATAAAGACAGGATCAAATCCTGCACTGGCACAACCCTACCTCACTCTCCTCACTCCAATTCCAGTACCGTGCCATTCTATCATTCAACTGATACCTACCGCACAACCTCTGCCAGGCCCCTTTCTAGCACTGGGGAAGCGGCTGCGACCAGGGCAGACCATGTCGTGGATCCACTTTCTCGTGGGGGGGGGGGACACAGTGAGCTCCGGGGGGGCAGGATTTTTTTGTGTTCTCTGTCCCTGGGAGAGCCCCTGACCTTTCCTCAGTGCTCAGTAACGGTGAAATAAAATAAAGCAGCAAATACATGATGAGCTGGGAGTAATAAGGGCTTCAGAAACAAATACAGAGAAATAAGGGGGGTAGAGAGTGGCAAGGGCTACTGTTTAGGAGCACCATGTAAATCTGGTGGAACAGCATTCTAGTCAGAAGGAACAGCAGCTGCGAAGGCTCTGAGGAAGGAAAATGACAAGCCCTTTATATACAAAGTGTCTTAGAGTCCTCTCATATGGATACTTTATCATTTTGTGTCAATATTATTCTTCAGAGTTTATTACATATTATTTATTTATATATTCATATGTTATACATTTATGTACATATTTATACATTATAATTTACACCAGGGCACTTCAAGAAGTCTGTGGAAAAATAGAATTAAAAGATAATACAAATCTTTCCGTAAAGTTTTTGAAGACCCCTCGTATACAGTAGTCCCTCGGTATCTGTGGGAAGTTGGTTCCAGCACCTCCTGCAGATACCAAAATCCACGATGCTCAAGTCTTTTATGTAAACGGCATAGTATTTGCATATAACCTATGCACATCCTCCCGTATACTTTAAATAATCTCTAGATTACTTATAATGCCTAATACAGTGTAGATGCTATGTAAATAGTTGCTATGCTGTATTTTTTTTATTGTAGTATTGTTACTTTTTATTGTTTTTTTCCCCAAATGTTTTTAATCTGTGGTTCGTTAAATCCGTGGATGTAGAACCTGCAAATACACAGGGCCGACTGTACATATATACATACATATATATATATATCATTATATGATTTAATTCTCTCAACAGTTTTGTAAAGTGGTTATTATTCCAATTTTTCAGATGGGGAGCTAAGGGCATAGCTTATGTTGCAAGATGTAAAAATTGATAATTAACATAGACAATTTTGTAATTAAGAGAGCGGAGTATGTGTAGTTTCATCTTAAAAGACCCTGGTCTCACCCGACTTACTTATTTTTATGAGGCCACTATGAGACTGGGATGTAAGTCATCTTTTGCCCTGTTGAGATGAGAAATTTCACCACAGCAGTTAAATACACACAGCTTTCTATCTTTCTTTCTTTCTTTTTTTTTTTTTGAGTAAACTTAATTTTGGAATGATTTTAGATTTACAGAAAAGTTGCAAAGATAGTATGAAGAGTTTCCATCTAGCCTTTTTTATCCAATTCCCCTAATGTTAACATTGTGTGTAACTAGTGTACCTAAGTCAAAACTAAGAAATTAACATGGGAACAATACTAGGAACTAAAAACTGTTGACTTTATTGATATCTTACTAGTGTTTCAACTAATTCCCTTTTTCTGTACTAGGATGTAATCAGGATGCTGGATCTATATTGCATTTAGCACATAGCTTTTAATTAAATATAATTATATTTAAGTTAAATTCAGTTTATTTAAGTTTAATTAAATATAATTATAGCTAACATTTGTATAATCAAGGGCATTTAAGAAATTGAACCCTATACTTCTCACTCTCCAATGCAAAATGTCTCTATTCCTTTCAATCCAATCTCTACGGAGATGTGCCTTGATCCTGGGAATAGCTATGCTACCCATCTCTCCAGGTATTCATTTGACCCATCCCCTGTGGGTTGCCTCAGAACCTGGCTCCTTGGGGTTGGTCTTCTGGGTGTCCTTCCACTTGGAATCAGGATCATATTGTCTGTTTCAACAGAGTTCTTACTGCAGAGGGGTCCAATGTGCTTGCTTCTCCAAGGATGACAAATATGTGTACGTGGGCTTGAAGGATCGTTCCATAATTGTCTGGAGTGTGCTGGATGGTGAGTCATTTTGCTTTCAGGGCAGGACTGAGCTTTGATCTGGAAAGAAAGGGCCTTGTCCTGGGTCCTGGGTATTAAAGGACCCCACTCTGGCCTCCCATATCTGGTCTCTTAGTGTAGGGAGGTGTCTGCAGGTCAAGGGTGTTGGCCCATGACCCCTTTCCTAGACTCAGGGTCTGGAACTTCAGAACACTCTCCCCACATGGCCTTGGGTCCTCTTTAGGACAAGCATAGGCTAACCTCCTCACTTGCTCTCCTTTTAAAGCCATCAGAACCATGCCCATTACTCCATGAATGGATCAAACCATTCACCAGGGCACAGTCTCACAATCTAATCTCCTCTTAAAGGCCCCACTTTTCAATTACCATAATAGGATTTCCCACCCTCTTTACATTGTTACAATGGGGGTTAAGTTTCCAATACATGAACTTTTGGGGGACACTTTTAACCCATAGCACATGCATATGTGTGAGGCCCCTCAAGGTGTAGGATGGAGCTGGAAAGAGTGGGAAGAGAAAGGGGCCAAGCCACAAACAGTGGGGGACTGACTACATTCCAGCACTGAACTCTGAAGAGCCCAAGAATTCTCACTCTGAACCTGGCCTTCCAGGTGGTTGTGAAGGTACTTTCATCAATGTAGGAGGATAGAGTGTATTTTATTAATTTATAGAATGTATTGTGATGTTTATATATTGTGTCTTACAGAATGTGGGCCTTGATTTGTTTTCTTGCCCCAGGCCCTAGAAATGTTAGGAGCATCCTGTTTTCAGACTGATCACTTTGAAAACCCCATGTCTTTTGGTCTGTTCAATGTTATGTGAAGGTCACATTAGCAAAAGTTAACATTTATCATGTACTGAGTACTGTCCTCAAGTCATTCGATTGTTTCAAAGGTCACCCCCATTTTACAGAGCAAAAACTGAAGCTCTGAGAGAATGTGTGACTTGCTCAAGGTCACACAGTGAGTAACTGGTAGGCTGCAATTTTTTTTTTTATGTTGAACTTTTTTTTTTTTTCATTTCTTTTTTTCCTTTATTTTATTATTTTTTTTTAAATTTTATTTTGTCGATATACATTGTGGTTGATTATTGTTGCCCCTTACCAAAACCTCCCTCCCTCCTCCCTCTCCTCCCTCCCACCCAACAATGTCCTTTCTGTTTGCTTGTCGTATCAACTTCAAGTAATTGTAGTTGTTATATCTTCTTCCCCCCACCCTCCCAGTTTTTTTTTTGTGTGTGTGTGTGTGTGTGTGTGTGTGTGTGTGTGTGTGTGAATTTATTTATTAATTTTTAGCTCCCACCCAATAAGTGAGAACTCCCATCAATAAGTGAGGACATGGTAGGCTGCAATTTGAAGCTGGTCTGCCTGATTCCAGTGCTCATCTTTGTCACTTTCTTACACTATCTCTTATTGAGAAGACTGTCAACATGTATTACCTCTTTGAACCCTTATGACACTAGTAGGGGGTAGGTATAATTGTTATTCTTGTTCAACAAGTGAAGAAGCTGAGGTCTGGAGAGGTTAGGACACTTGTCCAAGATCACAAAGCAAGTAAGTGATTGAATAAATATCAAGTAGAGCCTAATGCATTGTAGTCAAATACACTGTAATCTAGTACTTTGTAGTTACATACACTGTAATCTAATACACTGTAGTTGAATACATTTTAGTCTAACACGCTGCAGCAGAGATACCTGGCAAAAAGTCACAAATGGCTCAGAAGCTGAGCTCTGAGGATTGTGGCCTTAAAAGCCCATCCTTGGCATGTTCACAACCTCTCTTCCTGCTTCTCCTCCAATAATAATGATATTTACTGAGCTCAGTCTGGGACAAAAATCTATAATAAGCACCTGTCATGCATTATGTATTTAAATCTTTAAAATTCCCCCGAACAGGTAGGTTCTGTTATCATTCCCATTTTGCAGATGAAGCAAGAGGTACTCAGAGGTTATGTGTCATGCTTAAGCTAGTAAAGGGCATAGCAGGAATTTGACCCTGTGCAGCCAACTCTAGAATATGTAGGATTGGACCTCTGCACCCCACTTTTCTCATTTCAGTCCTGCCCTTCACCTCCCCACCCCCCAGGCACCCTGCTCGCTGTCCAGTTTGTCCATGCTGTGGTAAACAGAATCATCCCAACCTCCAATGGCTTCATTGCCCCCACCAGACATGGTTATCTCATCCGAGAGCGATTCCAGTGCCCTTCGTCAAGAGCCTCACAGCAGGACCCTCTCAAGAACTTCAAGAAGGCAGTGTGGATGGTCAAATCCAGGCAGAGAGAAGAGCTGGCTGCAGCCACAGGAACACCCCAGGACCCGGGATTGGAGAGTTCCCAGGGAAATGAACGCAAATCAAACAAACACTCACAAATCTGCCTTATAGTGTAGAAAACCCCCATGGGGGCATGGGGTGCCAGTGAGTTAGCCATGTTTAATCTGGTTGAAGCAAAGAGAATGCACTTGCTTTGGACGTAAGAACTCATTATGTGACCTGGACCTTGCCTCTTCCCATCTTTCTATTCTTCTTTCCTCCTTGTTGGTTCCATTCTTAGACCTGCCATCCCCAGGTTAGCAACATGGTGGCCATTATGCTGCCATCCCCAAGTTCAGTGAAAAAGAGAGCTTCCTTTTCCTAACAGTTGTAGCCAGTCTTAGCCCCCAACTCTATCTGTCCCAATTGGCTCAAGCATCCATCCCTGAACCAATCATTATCTCTGATTGTCTGGCCTGACCCAGTGCCCATCATTGGGGCTGAGGTTGGAGATAATACCACCCAACCATGTGGGCCGAGAATAGAAGAGGGTATTTCTGAGAGGGAAAATGGGGTGCTGGTACCAGGTGAAGGGGTGATGGATGAACGTGAGACAGACCAAACCACTGATATGGACCACAGGGCTTTACAGTCTATTAAAAAAGCACCAGCTACTGTCATCTGATCCTCATCACAGCACATACTTTAGGAAGGGCAGGAGTTTCTGTGCCCATATTACAAATGAGGAAACTGAGCCTTGCAGAGGTAGCTGTGATTTGCTCCAGGTTACAAGTGTAAGGTGCAAGAGCTCTGAGAGCCAGGAGCCTTTTGTTCCAATCCTTGCTGGACCACCTCACTCCAATTTTAGTCTCTGAAGCACATCCATCTATTCCACAGGTATAGATGGGCAAAGAAGAAAGATCCATTTACGTAGAATGGAAACAGTTTGACTGTTGACCTTGCACAAGGCATATGGTCCAAAAGTGAAGCATAGAGATGTCAATGGTTCTTTCTGTGTTAACAGATGTTAATGGCATGCTTAAGTGCTCACAGGGGCTAGCGAACATTCTAGATGATTTCCATGCACCTGTATGAGCAACAAGGAGCAATGGAGACTGTCGACATGTGGAGGGCATATGTTGTGTCTAGGGTGGGCACAGGCATCCTGACTAGCCCAGAATCACCATGACAACACAGTCCCATGTTGTCAGATCTTCCTGTCATGATAAGCAAATCCAGAGACCTGAAGTTTTATGCAAAATATTCCCATTTTTAAAAATTGGCGATTGGCTTAAACTTTTATCTATAGGCACTTTTGGCCCATGTGTCTTTAGTTCATGAACTGACCTCATGACTCGAGCTGGCATTAAAACAATAAACATGCTACAGTTCTATCCTTACTCCTTGGCTCCCAAATTTTTAGTGTAAAGATGCTTTTTCATAATCTCAAAAACTGGAGGCTTTCAGAAGCAGACAGGAAGAGCCGTTGATATCTCTATGCTTCACTTTTGGACCATCTGCCTTGTGCAAGTTCAACAGTCAAACAAACTGTTTCCATTCTACATAAATGGATCTTTCTTCTTTGCCCACAGCCTTCTAAAAGCCCCACTTGCTTCTGGGGCTTTTGCTATAATGGTAGGAGAATCCAAATCTTCAAGGTGCTATTTCTTCTCTCCTCCACTGAATTCCAGATGGAGTTTCAGAAAAAGCAACCTTAGAAACAGGTTTTTGAGCTAGATGAAACCCTACTGACTATTTCATTCATTCATTTCCCAAACCAGGTGGGCTTTGGCAGTTCTGCAAATGTTAGTGTCAAATTCCACTTTTTAAAAAATATTTGAGGGGCCGGCCTGTGGCTCACTCGGTGGAGTGCGGTGCTGATAACACCAAGGCCACGGGTTCGGATCCCATATAGGGATGGCCGGTTTGCTCACTGCCTGAGCGTGGTGCTGACAACACCAAGTCAAGGGTTAAGATCCCCTTACCGGTCATCTTTTAAAAAAAAAAAAAAATTTGAGACTGTACTTTAAAAATGAATGCTCAGGTGCTTTGGGCAGCAGCTTTTAAGGTGTTGGGGATTACTAATTTAGGATTCCCCTGTTATCTCCATTAAATGAAGAACCTATTTAGATTGCAAGGAGAGCCCCTGAAAAAAATAGCTACTCTTTGCCACCATTTTTCTGTGAATCAGGGGTTTACCCAATGCAGAAATGAAGTGGATATTCTGACAGTAAGATTTCATCTACAACGTTTGGTTGGAAATTTCTGTGTCCATTTCAACAGCCTCAGTGAAATCAATTGCTTTGTATAAATACTAATTTGAACATGGGAAACAAATTTTTACTAATAAAATGCTACTGCAAATTGTTGCTTGTATTGGAGGATTTTGCTGTGAGTTATTATTCAAGAAAGAGTTTGGTGGCTATGAATGTTTGACAGTCACTGTGCTTTGCAGAAGAGTGGCTTGCCTAGGGTCTCCCAGCCATGGCACAGCCAGGATGACATCATGGTTATTTCCATCATCACCTTTCTGTCTTACAGATAAACATGATCATATAACATATCATCCAGGGCTGGCTGCTTAGCTCAGTTAGTTAGAGCATGGTCAGGGGTTCGGATTCCCATACTGGCCAGCTGCCAAAAAGCAAACAAACAAACAACAACAAAAATCCCCACATATTATCCAAATTGGGACACTTTCTGAGAGAAAAGAGGACATTTTTAACAATTACTCCTGGACAACTGAAATAAACTGGACTACTCCAAGACAATTGGAATATAAATCCCCTTTAGTTGCATCAGGAATGAATTTAGGTTAAATTCTAGAGGCTTTTTGTTTACTTCCTTATCTCAACTTTTTCCTTTATGAAAATGTTCAAACCTACAGCAAAATTGCAATATGAGGACCATAATCACACCGCTGAGATTTAACAATTGCCCAATTGCTGTCAGTCCCCTGCTAAACCGTTTTAAAGTGAGGGCCAGGATGAGGATCAGGCAGGTGAGGCACTCATGTAAGGCACAAAATTTAAGGGGTGCTAAAAAACTCAGCCATCAAGACAAATCATATTTTATTATTGTATTTTTTAAAAATGAATTTTAAAATGAATGATGAACAAAATATCAACATTTTATATAAAGGTAGGGTCTGACCCTGCACCCTGTCTACCCTAATCCTGGGCCTCGTGACATCAAGACACCTTGTTATCAAAACCAAGTCTGGCTGCCTGCTGCAATACAGAAACAAACGCCAAAGTCAAATGTTGGTGAAAAGGGAAGGCAGCTTTACTCAGGACCAGTAACCTGAAGGGGATGGCAGCCTCACCCATCTCCTATTCTCAAGTTCACCAATGGTTTTTATGGGGTAAGACACAGGAAGTGAAAAGCAGGAGGGAGGGGGATGTGTGCTGTGGTGGCTCTGTGTAAGGAGCCAGATGCAAAATCTCACTAAGGCTCCATCTGGCTTCTGTTCTCATCCTTGATGTTATCTTAGGGTCCTGCAGGATTTTGATTTGCTTTGGGGTGGAATCAGCATAGCTTTATTGATATCTTCCTTGGTTTCTCAGGGTCTGAAAAACAGCTCTACACATATGTAAATTATGTCATCCTGCCCCACAACCAAGGTTCAAAATATCAAGTAATCACGGCAAAAGAGGGAACTCAGAGAAATGCATGCTAAGAAAAACAGTGTCTTCAAAAATTTTCATAAAGCCCAGGCAGTTTTAGGTGCCAACATGGCTTCTGTCCTGTTCCTTCTAACAACCTCACCCCCCAAATACATCAGGGTGAGTCTCTTAGGAATAAAGTCATTCTCCTACACAACCACACACACCTAAGAGAACTACCAATTGTAAGTTAGTATCTTTTAATAGGCATCTCAGAGTAAAATTTCCCCAATTTGCCCTAAAGCATCTTTTACAGCCATTTCTTTCAAACTAGGATGCAATCAAGATGTGTTTGTGCAGTACATATTGGTTATTCTGTCTCTATATTCTAGAATAGGGGTCAACAGGCTACAGCCCACAGGCCTGCCACCTATTTTTGTAAATAAAGTTTTATTGGAACACAGCCTTGCTCATTTATTTAGGTATTGCTTGCAGCTGCTTCCATGTGCCAAAGTTGAATAGTTGGAACAGAGAATGCATTGCCCCAAAGCCAAAAATTTACAATTTGGCCCTTTACAAAAAAAAAAAAAAAAAAAGTTAACCCTTGGTCTTAAGGTTTGATTAGATTTAGGATAAACTTTTTTAAAAAATGGATTTAACATTTTTAGAGCAGTTTTAGGTTCACAGCAAGATCAAGCAGAAGGTACAGAGAATTCCCATATCCCCCCATCCCTACATACGCACAGTCCCTCATTTTCAACATCCCCACCACAGTGCATTTGTTATGATGGGTGAACCTACATTGACACATCATTATCACAGGGTGGACATTTTGATAAGAATACTTCATAATGAGACAGAGCAACACCAGACCTGTGAACCACACTGACTCCCTTTTCCTGCAGTGGACACTTCGTTACTTTTCCACTCCTCAGTCATGAGATCCCCAGGGCATATGATTACCCTATGTCTGCCCTGATAAAATAGACTGAGATAAGAGGGGAACAGATATTCACTGAGTTGCAAAACCCCTCCCCAAGCCTTGTTTACTGTAATTGTAAGCATTAAGTTACAGATTAACCTTGAGACCTCTTTAGGAATTCCCACGTGGGCACAAAATTTCAAGGTGACTGCTACAGCGACTCTCCTGGGGTGACAATGATGAACATCACCACCATCTCGGACCTACTGAGCAGTTGCAAGGACCAAAGCCCTAACTGAGCATGCGTCCATGATGTAAACAGGAAGAACAGAGTGGACCACCTGCAGTGACGCTGGCCTGCACCCCTTAACTCCTTTCCCTATAAAAGACCCTGAACAACTCCCCTCAGGGTACTAGCTTTCCTGTAGCTAACCCCCTTATGCATAAGTCTATCTCCTCTTTTAATAAAGCATTACTTGCTTTACTGCTGGGTAAATTGTTCATTTCTATGGCTTTGGGACCCAAGAGCCTAAATCAGTAACAGTAAGTGTATTAGTTCTCTATCGTTGCATAACAAATTACTGCAAATTTAGCAGCTTAAAACAACATCCACTGATAATCTCATAATTTCTGTGGGTTAGGTGTCTGTGGGCATGGCATGACTGGGTTCTTTGTTTAGGGTCTCACAAGATGTCTTACAAGGTTCTCAGTAAGAGGCTCAGAGTTTTCATCCAAGTTCAGACTGTTTGCAGAATTGTACTCCTTGAAGCTGTAGGATTGTGTACCTGTTAGTGGACTCAGGTTCGGCTGCCCGCCCCCTTGAAAAAGAAAGAAAAAAAAAACCCTCAGAAGTCAAACGGTTGGGGGCCGGCCCAGTGGCTCACTCGGGAGAGTGCGGTGCTGATAACACCAAGGCCCCGGGTTCGGATCCCATATAGGGATGGCCGGTTCGCTCACTGGCTGGGCGTGGTGCTGACAACACCAAGTCAAGGGTTAAGATCCCCTTACCAGTCATCTTTAAAAAAAAAAAAAAAAAAAGCCCTCAGTAAATGCAAATCTTTGAGATGGGATAGCGTGCCACCTCGTTCAGCTAAATACATCTGCTTTTTTAACACCAACCGTTTGACTTCTTTTTTTTTTTTTTTTTTGTCCTTTTTCGTGACTGGTAAGGGGATCGCAACCCTTGATGTGGCATCGTCCGCACCGCGCTCAGCCAGTGAGCGCACCAGCTATTCCTATATAGGATCCGAACCCGCGGCGGGAGCGTCGCTGCGCTCCCAGTGCTGCACTCTCCCGAGTGCGCCACGGCTTGGCCCTACTGAGGGGTTTTTAAAGGAAGGCTTGAGGTAATGGAATGTGGGAGGTGAAAAGCAGGA